GCGTTTAGACGGGAAGCGTGCTTCCTCCAGAGTTATCTGGTTCTGAAAGCAATTCAGTGGCTTCTCTGTTGCTTCGATGGTGTGTGTAAGCGACACTTCACTGTGGATAGTAGCCGCACACGAATGAGCTTCTTCCGCCTCCACAACGTTAAGTTGCTGTCTGGAGATGGCATCCGCGACGAGATTCTCTTTGCCGGGCTTATAAAACATTTTAGCGCCGGACTCGTCGATGCGAGCTTTCCATCGTTTGATTTTCGCGTTCGGATTGGATTCCGATACTGCGAATGTCAATGGCTGATGATCAGTGTAGATGTTTATATCTTTTACTGCATACAAATAGTGCCGCAGCTTGGCCAGTGCCCAAACTATGGCTAGGAGCTCCCTCTCGTTTGTGGCGTAATTAACCTCCCTGTCTTTTAACGTCCTTGAGATCATTGTTATTGGGCGTCCCTCCTGGGACAATACTGCGCCAATGCCATAGGCCGAGGCATCTGTCGTTAGATCAAATGCCTTTTTGTAGTCGGGGTATCTTAGCATCACGTCGTCGGATGCCAGAATGTTTCGTAGTTTCTGGAACGCTTGTTGTTGCGCCTCAGAGAACAGAACCGGAATGTTTCGTGACCTGTGTCTACTAACTGTTCCGTTTTCCCCTTTCAGGATGTCCGATATAGGTCTTGCTATTGCTGCGAAGTCCTTAATGAAACATCTATAGTAGCTGGCTAGGCCTAGAAATGACCGTACCTCAAAAACACTTTTAGGTTCCGGAAATTCTTTTATGGCCTTTACCTTCTCTGGGTCTGTTGTAGCACCGTTACAAGTGACTATAAACCCAAGGAAGTTCACGCTTTTCTTAAAAAAGCTGGATTTTTCTGCCGATACTCTCATGTTCGCATCGTACAGGCTCTTCAGAACCCAATCTACGTGCTTGACGTGAGAGCTTTCATCTTCCGAAAAGATGATTACGTCGTCAACGTAAACATAGCAGAACTTGCCGATTTGTTCCCGTAGGATGTCGTCAATAGTCTTCTGAAAAATGCTGCCTGCATTCTTGAGGCCGAACGGCAGTTTGCGGAACTCATATTTCCCGCCATTCACTGAGAAGGAAGTTTTTTCTCTATCGCGTTCTGCGAGTATTATTTGATGATAACCGGACTTGAGGTCCAGCGTTGAGAAATATTTAGCATTACCCAGGTTGCCTAATATCATGTTTATGTTTGGCATGGGATACTTGTCGGACACGGTTCTTTCGTTTAATTTGCGGAAGTCAATAACTGGTCGCATTTTCCGATTTCCGAGCTCATCGGTCCCTTTTTTATCCACCACCCATATCGGATTGTTGTAAGGGGAAACCGACTTTTGAATTATCCCGTTTCTGAGCAGATCCTCAATCTCTTTGTTGACGAAATCCGCTGCTCCCATGGGGTATGGGTATAATTTCGCGTATATGGGCTCCTCACTAACCGTTCTGATGGTAGCTACCACCGACGTGTTGTAAGGTAAAGGCCCTTTTCCTGGTCCTTAGCATTTCTAAAAACGCGTTTCTTGCCAATGGCGGTGCATCTGAGCAATTCACGTTAGTGAAGTTTGCATCAGCGCACGTATGGAAATTAATCTGCTCTACCTCGGTGCCCCATTTTAGGTGGCCGGAAGCTAAACAGAGTGATGCCCCTGCCTGTTTTAATAGGTCAAGGCCGATTATTCCATCGAATGTATTTAAGTCTGGTAGTATGAAAAAGGTAGCCTTAATGTTAAATATCGAGACAAAACATTTATTTGTGATAGTTGTACCCCCATGGATTGAATGAATGGTGAATGGGGAGTCTACTGGGCGAACGCCTTTCAATCCTTTGTGGGGCCGGATGAAATTTTTTGACGCGCCCGTGTCGATTAGGAATCTCATATAGGTCCCCGCTACTCTTCGTCTGATGACGGGTAGCAGGGATCTTCCCCTAAAAAATTTATTGCATCTGAGTCGTACTCTAAGATGGCGTCATCATCAATTTTGGCCGCTGCACTGGAGGCTGCGGTGGTGTATTCTTCGTCAGTTTCGCCCGCGCTCTGCGTGACGTGGTTGACCCTCTGCCTTTTTTGCGGGCCCGATCGATCGGATGCGGCCGGCTTTCTGTTTTGGTAAGCCGGTGCCTGAGAAGGCTTGAGTATTTTGGAAAACGAAGGGTCAATTTCCATGGGTTCGGCAGTATTTTCACGAGACGAGCCACTGCGTGGGGCAGAGTGAACTTGAGCTTTGTGCTGCTTCGTGAAATAGGGATTTTTGGCAGCACCTGTTTGGGTATTATTTTGAGGAGGGGTTTGTTGACGCTCTTTCGCCTTTGGATATTGTTTTTTATCCTTTTCCTCCTGGCTTCTTGCAAAAGAGGCCGCGAAAGAATATCTCTCGTGATTTGCCTCCACCTCCTGAGCCAAAGCAAGTGCTGTTGGCATGTCCTTGGGCTTCGCCGAGAAGAGGACATCTGTGAGGCTGCGTTTTAATCCCGAGATGAACACTCGAAGTGCATCATCCCGGAATTTTACGCACAGGACTTCGGCCGCCGAAGCGTCGTGCGACATGGTGGCCTTGTTTGTGAGGAGGGTCAGTTTCTTTTCAACCTCATCATAATACTGTAACAGTGAGAGATTTCCCTGCCTTAGAGTGCCCATTTCCTGTTCTATGACATGCATTGGGCGCTTATCGCTATAGGTAAAATCGAGACGACTTATAATCGCATCGAAGTTGAGTACTGTCCCGAACGACGATAATACCGCGTCGGCGGGTCCCCTAACCTTGCTTCTAATGATTATTACAGCTTGGTAATGGTGAGAGCTGCCATCGAATCGCCTAAAAATGTGATAGGCCGCTACGGCCGCCTGCCGCCAGGAGACATATGCCTCCTGTGCTCCCGAAAATTCGGGCAAGCATTTTACAGCATCTAGAGGTTCATTACATTGAACAGTGTCTACTATCTCTATGGCTTTATATGTTACTATCTGGGGGGTCTGGGCTGAAGCTGGCGGGACGTTGATTGCCGTTACTTGCCTGGCCAATTCCTCAATTTGTTGCATAAGCGCTTGCTCCCTTGCTTGGCTTTGAGCGGTCTGTTCTGCAAGGGCATTTGCAACGACAGCCTGTATAACATTTCGGAGCTGATCGGGGTCCATTTCTGTAGGGGGGTCTGAGTATCGGAGTTGAATTGTGGATCCGCCCTGCACTCTCAGACTCTGAGTCGCTGGAGTCTTGCCTTTTGTTCCTATACTCGAGAAACGGATTACTCATGTGCAGCTGGATTTAACCGCACAGAAATTCGCGCGCGTAAGCAAAGCTCTACACACACAAAGACGAAGACAAAAAGCTTGGGGATCGTATTTCCTTGCGATAAGTGGAGCGACAAAATTGAATGCCTGTGTTATATATTTTTTATATAGGTCACAAAATTTAATTTTAGAGGTCCGAATTTACAAAATTTTGTGGAAGACGTAAAAAATATTTTTGGCCGAAGGGCCCACTTACATTTTATGTTAGCTCCCACTAATGTAATTCTCCCGGTAGTTGAGCGCCAATTAATTTCTTTGGTGACCGGCCCGGCGGCGGTACCGCTCCTGGACGGGCCAGTGGTAGACGGGGCACCGGCGGGGTGCTTGTTGTAAGTAAGGGTTATAGCTGTCTGCTAGACAACTATGATCGCTGATGTGCTGGACGAAGAGTAACCACTGCGTGGCTGTCGTTCAGGTGGTTGGGAGCTGGCTGCTGGCAACTATAATCGCTCGATGTACTGGATGGGGGCAGCCGCTGCGTAACTCTCTTCTCGAGTGGTTGGGGGTTGGCTGCTGGGCAACTATGGCCACCGATGAGTCAACCGAAGATTATGGTGATGGGGATAACTGTCCCCCTATGCCCCTGGCCTTAAGCTCAGTGGACGAATGTAAATAAGTTTGACGGCGATGCCGAAGTAAAGTTAACGAGCAGCGTGCTCTTTATTTAAGACATGAAACAGTACTGTTCTTAAAAACTAAACTTAGAGCTAACAAAAGCTCACAGCGGCCACGCAAATATGCAGTGTCTGCCGCTGTGCACGAGCTTCCGGCCCATTGCTAGGTCAGCAATTTCGGCCGGAGCTTATTTTCGAAGTAACTGCGGTCAACGATCTTGATCGGGTTGACCACAGTTAACTTATATATTTGATTATTCCTATGGGAGCCTTAAGAGATTCCGGCTCGATCCGACCTATGTGCTACCTGCAATAGAAAGAAGACTTTTGGGAAGGTTTTATCGCGATGACTTTAACACTGAGACTCGGCTATTGATGCTTCACTGCGTTGCAAACTTATAATTTTATTAATTATTAAAATTATAATACACTCTGCAAGTGTATAAAAATGATATCTTTGGTGTTTGTACCCGTTACTCGCAGAGTAAAAGGGTATATTGTATTCGTGCAAAAGTATGTAACAGGGAGAAGGAAGCGTTTTCGACCCTATAAAGTATATATGTATATCTTGATCAAGGTCACTAGCCGAGTCGATATAGCCATGTCCGTCTGTTCCATCTGTATCAACGCTGAGATCTCGGAAACTACAAAAGCTAGAAGGTTACGATTTTCCACACATATTCTTGGGCCTCCAACGCAGCTCAAGTTTATTTCAGCCGAGCGCCACGCCCCCTCTAACGCCCACAATCGCCCACTAACGATTTTAAAATGTGTCCTGCGCCCACATCTTTAAAGATTTCCGAGAAGTATAAATGCAATTTTTGGTCTATTCTATTCGGACTATTCATTAAAAAGTTATACGCAATCAAAATTGTTTATATATCTATCTCCCTCGCACCCCGAGTTACGATTATTAGATAGTCGGGACACCAACCCGACTATAGCGTTCTCCCTTGTTTAGATAAATGTTTCCTCATTTTGCTTCCCAATCGTATTTAGTTTAAGCATTAAGATGTTTTATGATTGTAAAACTTATATTAAACTTATATTCAAACTGTTAAATTTGGATACCCGAAGGATGAGCAAAACAGCAAAGACTTTAAGGCCTATCCGAGTGTCATCAGGAGTACTTAGTGCGTTACTGTAATTGCACAATGGAGTTGCTGTTTCCACCGGGTGAGCTCATAATCCAACCATCGTTTCCAATTCATTTGACATTTGTTTCTTCTGGGAAGGTCAATATCGGTCATGCCGAGCGAAGGATTTGCTTTGCTTGGCAGAACACAATGGTTAGTAAGAACCAACCATCGACAACAAAGCTCCTTCTATAATCCAAAACTTTTACCCGCAGATTTGCTTGTCTACTCCCACCAGCCAGGCGAAAAGGATTTTGTCCGCAATAACTTCAAGGGAATGTCCTGCAAATGCTTTCGCAACTGCTACTCGCTTAACTACATTAGCGATGTTCGCCCAGCGTTTCTGCCGCCGGACGTTTATGCAAATGCCTCATATGTGGATTTGGATGTACATTACCGATTCGAAACTATTATGGTCTATCGTACCAGCCTCGTCTTTGGCTGGGTAGACTTAATGGGTTAGTAGAAATCATATTGATCTTTAGTGTGTAGAAGATTTTTTGTTAAATTCTTAGCCTTTTCTTAACAAACAAGAGAGAACGCTATAGTCGGGTGCCCCGACTATCAGATACCCGTTACTCAGCTAAAGGGAGTGCGAAAGAGATGGAGAAAAACTTTGATCCGCCGTAACTTTTTAACGAATGGTCCGATTTAAAAAATTTCTTCTACATTTCGATAGGTATTGATAAACACAATAAAACTGCATTTTTACTTTTCCAAAATATTGCAATTTTTAAAATCGTATATAAGCGATTGTGGGCGTTAGAGGGGGCGTGGCACCCTTTTGAAACAAACTTGCGCTGCGTAGGAACACCTAAAATCTGCATGCAAAATGTCAATCTTCTAGCTTTTATAGTTTCCGAGATCTCAGCGTTCATACAGACAGACAGACAGACAGACAGACAGACAGACAGACAGACAGACAGACGGACAGACAGACGGACAGACGGACATGGCCAGATCGACTCGGCTAGTGATACCGATCAAGAATATATATAGTTTATAGGGTCGGCAACGCTTCCTTCTACCTGTTACATACTTTTGCACGAATCTAATATACCCTTTTACTCTACGAGTAACGGGTATAAATATATGCAGACCTCTGTGTTCGTGAGTAAATTCAAATCATTCATAGATTACGAAAATTCACGTATTGCTGCATAATCTTTAAGCACGGAAAGAATTCTTCGCATATGAGTGTAGAATGTCCTTAAAATAAGAACGTTACTCGTAGAGTGAAAGGGTATATTGTATTCGTGAAAAAGTATGTAACAGGTAGAAGGAAGCGGTTCCGACTTTACAAGCTATATATATTCTTGATCAAGATCATTATCCGATCTAGCCTGTCCGTCAGTCTGTTTGTACACACAAAAAAAATTGCTTGGTAAAATTGACCAATGAAGATAGTTCAGTAACTATAAAAAATAGTATTTTAACAATAAAAATAGTTGATTTTTTTTTGAGTAAAAAATAAAAATCATTATTTAATAAATATTTTGTAAACGAAAAAAATATCGCTCAGAAATAATGATTATTTTGTGAGCGATATTATTTCGCTAAAAATATCACACAAAGTGTGATTGCAGCCGTCCTACGCGGAATTTTACAATTATTTAAATGTGCACTTGTAGGTAGAAACACAAAGCACATATCCAGCTAAGAAAAAAATTGATTTTCTTTGTATAAACCGCTTAAAAGCGGTTGTTTTTTGTATAAAAAAATTTTTTTCATCAAAGTGCCACGCCCCATCTACGGCTACAAACCGGGAAAGGCGCAAACAGTTTTGATGGAGTAGTATATAAGGTAGTATAAAAGTCGGTAGTATATAAGTCGTAAAAGTATTCTTTCTATTCCAGGTAGTAGAGCAGTGAAAACATCGATATTGGCTCTACTATCTACTATACTATCACGATACTATCGCTCCTAAGTAAACTCCAACATTAGGGTTATTCTTTTTATATGTAAATATTAAGGGTGTTCCTTTAAAAGTTACAAGTTTTTAAATAACGTTATAATTATAATTACTCAAAATAAAATATAGGTCTTATCTCGTATTTGTATTTTCGCTGTTTCAGTGAATAGGAGAAGGCTAAAGCGCAGGGATGCTTTCTCTGGACAAGAGGACATCACGTCACACGTGTCCTGAAGCAGTAATGCTTTATTGTATTTTTGTTTCAATATTGCATTATAAGTTATACAAATTTGTTAATTGCCATTCTGTTATGTTTTCATGTTATTTGTTCTTAATTGTACTCTGCGTTTTATAGCCATTGAAAAACGCCTTTTCATCAATTTTATTTCCATAAAATGTCAAAAAAGGCTTTTCGTTATGCAGACCGATAGTATCGTGATAGTTGAAAAACCTCGATATTGCCGTCGAAAGGCGCCTACTCGATAGTATCGATTGTTCCATCGATGTTTATACAGCAGCCCTAGCAGGTAGTATATAAGTTGGAACAGGCCGGATAGGACAACTATATCTTATAGATCCCATAAGAAAGATCGAAAAAAAAGTAAAAAAAAATCTTGCTTCGATATTTTTTGAAATATTACCTCCCACTCTTGGGTTTTTTAATATTTCTAAGTTTCGAATAAAATTATATGGCATTGCACTATGGCACTTTGTAAATCATCACTGTGAAGGAAGTAAGAAAAACAATTTTAAAAATTCCAAAACAACTCACAAAAACCTGATGAGTGTCCTAAAAATTAGGGACATAAGGTGTCCTTGGATCAAAAATGCATTGTATAAGACACTATTTTTATTTAATTTGTAAACGCTGTTCACAAATTAAGATTTTTAAACTTTGCTGTGACTTTAAAATTTGAATGCGCCCACCTCCTGGTGTCGTTGAGTTAGATTGAATTTTGTGTAGTGGCAACTTATGCTTATAAAAACCTCATTTATCGAAATAAAATGGTGGCAGGCATGGACACCGACCCATGTCACATTTTGTCGGCCTGGATTATTTAAAGAATTTTGTTTAAATGAGCATGGCTGCGTTTATTTTCAGATAAAAAAAATGTTCTATCAAGAATATGCACAACAAAGTTTTTTTTTCAATTGTTGAAAGAGAAGAGAACGCTATAGTCGGGTGCCCTGACTATCAGATACCCGTTTCTAAGCTAAAGGGACTACGAGGGAGTTGGTGATATACAACTTTGATCTGGCATAACTTTTAAACGAATGCACAGTGGTAGGGCTGGTATGGAGCCGCGGCCATAAATACTTCTAGATGTGCCATCGCTATGAAACTTTTACCAAAAATCTAGATAAATATTATAAATATATTTTACAAAAATTGGCCAGATCGTACCACTATATTTTATTATTATTTTTTTTTTATATCGCGGACAAAGAAGACAATTTCACAATAGACAATTAAAAATACATGCAGGTCAAAATACGAATAGTCAAGATACATAAAGTAAAACTAATTATTTGCTAAGTAGGATGTATTATTGCTTTAAGGATAGGCAGTGAGTCGCTAGTAGATATTAGGTGATATAGTCTATTATAGTCATTGCAGAGTACTCTAAAAGGTTCATGCATTGCATAATTAGAGATACAAAGATTTAAAACTAGAGGAATATAGTTTCTTGTGAATCTAATTGGCACATTAAAATGCAGGCGACCCAGTAACTCGGGACTCTCCACATCCCCATGAATAAGATTCCTAATAAACGTAATACCAAGCATAGTTCTTCGATTAACTAATGATGGCAAGTTAATTAGAAGTAGTCTACTAGAATAGGATGGCAGTATTAGGCTTGTATCCCAGTTAAGTCCCCGTAAGGCAAATATTAAAAAGTTTTTTTGCACAGACTCAATCCGGTCTATATGCACCCCATATTGGGGACTCCAAACTGGAGCGCAGTACTCAAGAATTGGTCCGACTAATGAAATAAACAAGGTCTTTGTGACATAAGGATCATCGAATTCCTTCGACCACCTTTTGATAAATGCAAGCACGCCCCTGGCTTTATTTACCATGGTAGTAATGTGATCCGAAAATTTAAGTTTGGGATAAATATAGACTCCAAGGTCGTCAGCATGCGTTATTCTATCTAACACACAACCGCTCAAAGTATAAGTTGAATAGTGAGGGCTGACACGAAAAAAGGTCATTAGTTTACACTTTGAACCATTTAAATTTAAATCATTATTCAAGCACCATGTTTAAAATGCATTGAGATCAGATTGTAAAGCTAAACTTTGTGCGGGATCATTAAATTGCAGGCACAACTTAACGTCATCTGCGTACATAAGTACACGTGAGTTCGTTAGGACTAGGGGAAGGTCATTTATAAATAATGTAAACAGGAGCGGACTAAGATGACTTCCTTGTGGTACATCGGACGTAACTCGGATTAGGGATGATAAAGAGTTTTTAAAAATGACCCTTTGAGTCCTGCCATTCAAATAACTTAAGATCCACCTAAGAAGATCATCAGGAAACCCCAAAAGGTCCAATTTCCGAACTAAAATCGGATTACTGAAATCAGTGTAAACCACATCAGTCTGAAAATTTGTTCTAAAACCATTTAACACAAATGAAGTAAACTCCAAAAGGTTGGTTGTCGTTGACCTACGTTTTATAAATCCGTGCTGACAAGAGGAAATAAGAGACCTACAACTGTGTTGCAAATGGGGAGTAATAATGTTCTCGAAGAGCTTCGGAATAGCTGATAGCTTTGAAATACCTCTGTAATTACATGCGTTTAATTTGCTCCCCTTTTTATGAAGCGGGATAACAAACGATTCCTTCCATCTATGCGGGAAATCTGACGTTTCTAAAGACAAAGTGAAAAGTTTATGCAATGGTCTACACAAAGTCTCAGCGCAATACTTGAGCACATATCCAGGGACTCCGTCAGGACCCGGTGAGTAGACTGGTTTGACCCTTTGCAAATCTAAAAGAAGTGAGCTTTCACTTATAACTGGACAAAAAATAAAGTTTGATTTAGGAATGTCATATGGGTAAGACTGATCTGACGGACTTGTTGTTGAATAGGTGGTTGAAAAACTATCAGTATACAATTTGGTCAACTTACTTTTTAAACCTCTGGTATTCTGATAGGAAAGCAGAAGGAAAGAATCTAGTTTTTTGAGACAGATACAGATGAAGATGTGGATGGCTCTTTAAAGGGATTTCCAACTTCCTTTGAACGAATTTTCTTTTTTCTAGCTTCGTACTCTTTAACAAAAATGCCTGCAGGCCAAAAATTGGGTGAGCACATCGTTGCAAAATGAGCACAGGGAACACCGATCTTAAATGATGATACTTCCCTAGCATATGGAAAATTAAATCGTTCAACCTTTAGATCATCAATCTGAACTTTGTTACGGATATAGGCCGTAATGTCCAGGGATGAAAGGTAAGGATTCAGCCGAGAAACAAAAATTTGTTTCCGCTGCAGTACACAGGTGACTGTTTTAGGTACCACGCATGTGACA